CTAATCTTCTACAAAGACCCCTTCATGTAGAATTTACCTCCGCGTCCCAACCCATGATCAGATCTCTAGACCTTCAGGTAGTAGCCAATGAAGTTTCAAATGGCTACTTGCGAAACCACAGCTGTCGCATTCGACAGTCAATTCCCAGCCAATCACTTTCCTAAAATCACTGAATAACCCCTCATTTTATGCTACAGAAATCCTCAAACAATTTAATGATTCGGTTTCTATATCAACAGCTGTTTAAGGTCAACATTCTTATGTTTCATCAAAATATTTTGCAAACCACATTTTGTGCCAAAATCCAAATTTTGGTGTCACATTTGGAAAAATAAAACATAGTTAGTACAACTGATCGTTGGGAAAATTTTCATACGGTAACTTGAAAGAACAAAGTAGGTATTTGGGTGGGAATTATCCCAATTTATTACTTTTACTTGATTGTGACCGCACTTTGTTGTGGGAAAAAAAGCTCTCTTATTTGGGTGGGATGCTATTTTTAATATGAGTATGTATTTAAGGTGTTAGTGCAAAAAAAATAAAATGTTCATGAGTGGTGAGTCAATATCGGCATTAAAAGAAGAAAAAACACTAGGGGGCATTAACTATGATATGCATGTTGAAATCATATCATACACTGGACAATGTGGAGTTTAATGGCACTAATTCTCACAGTGCAAGTACAGACTATCATAACTAGCAAGATTCATACAATACATCTCAAAAGATCGTCATGTCACACTTGGTACCAACTAGCTCCCCCAAGTCAAATATAAAATCTATATTTCCTATGACATGGAAGTTCAGAGGTTTTCTGTATAAAAAAAAAAGTTTTGCAGAGTTATTTCATTCACTTGTTTGGTAAATTACAAGACTCCGAGGATGTTTTACTGGATTCCTTAGCATAAGAATGAAGAGTCCTTTGAACCGATATCCTAGGTCTCTCAAACACCAACGATAAAAATAAAACTATAATCATTACTCAACACCAATAACGATAAAAGAAAGCAAAATGCAAGCGAGGAGATACAACGACAAGAACAATTTCAGATATATTTTCCCTAAAATAAATAGCCAAGTGATTGTTGCAGTTCTGGAGAGCGACGACAAATAGTTACAACTCTTACTAGGACCCGAAAATCAAACTAGAACATAAGAACGAAAATGCTCGAAATACGAGTACATGTACAGGACTTCTGCACAGAGAAAAGTAGAGTGAACTGCGCAATGGCCGTACTTGAGGCATTACTTCGCCAAAAAAAGATTATATTACGGCATTTTAATGGATGGCTACAACTTTTGTGATGAGTCCAAATGTAATTGAATATTTCAGTGGAAAATCACAAGGCGGTGGCTGTCAAAACGGAACAACAACAAATCAGTGTGCAATTGCCATACTTATTTAGGTGATTCTTACACCCACAGAAAAGCCCAAACACTTAGTTACTAGTTTTGTGAAGACTCCCAAAACTAACAACTATGTTATGCGAGTGCAAACGATATAACCCAGACAAGCAGCACAGAAACATGTTCTGGTCAGAAACAAGACAAACAAGAGAGTTTCAACTATATACTTCCTTTTGTTAGGTGTATTGTTCCTTGCAAGTCCTGTAAGTCATCTAGTATTAATCCCATGACAACCACACACTGAGGTTTCAGTAATAAGCTCCATCAATCCATCCAATTAATCTAATATAAGTCTATCAAGTAATTCCCCTTCAACACCACTTGGAATTTAATCAACCACATCAATCATAACAGTTCAGCTTATATGAACAAAGAATGTGCTTAAAAATACAAATATTGGCACCAACCTTAACAATCTTATACCAATACAACAAAGTGGGATTCCCGAAGCTCAGCTCGCGGGCACACGGCGGCCAGCGCCGGGGATGGTCGGGCGTATCCAAAACCCGAATGTTAACAAGGTGTAACAGAAAGAAACAAGTGAGGGGAGGAGAATAGAGATAAATCAATGTGATCGCCGGCGAAAATCCGGCGATGACAGATGCTGACGGTTTTGCGACGTGGAGATGAAGAAAGAAAGACCGGAAACGTCCCGGTGTGGGGTGCTTGTTATTGCGATACCGTCAGCTCATGGGCGGGCCGGCGAGGAATTGGTTTGTGGGCTGAGACCATCTTTATCCCCAACCGAACTTAATAATTAAAAATTATTTGTCTCTCTTCCATATACATAACTCATGCTTGATTATTTATGAAATAATTTGTTCAAATTAAGTTATTTTGGTTAACTATAAGTAATTTTAAAAAAGTGTTATTGTTAGTTGTAGTGGAATTTTAAGAATGTATTAATATAATATTTAAAATAAAATAATTAAAATTGATATGTTGTAAAAGTAAGAGATAAATGATTGGAAATGATTGAAAATGATAGGTAGTTAAAATTATGTGAGTGGATGAATAGTGAATTAAAGTTGATGTGATGTGTAAGAAAGATTGATTTGTATTATTTAATTATATGAATAATATTAAAGATAGTGGAGTTGAGTTAAAGTTGAGTTAGATTTTGAGTTGAAATGAAAGTGAGTAAATTATTTTGTAAACAATCACACCCTCAATTTTCCAACCTAATTTATCTTTATCCTCAACCTAACTCAACCTGAATATTTATTTTAATTTAATTTATTAAAAAATTATAATTTTATTATAAAATATATCAAATGTGATCTCTATTTGTAGAGAATGAAAAAATACGAATTTTAATATCATTTGTATATTTTTAAACAAAAAATTACACTTATCTAATCAAAATGAGACAAGTGTCCCATTTTTTTCCCAATTACAGGTTGCGACCCGAGGTCACTTTGTAACCTGGGTCGCTCAAAATTAGTGACCTTTTCATTTTTTTTTTTATTTTTTTTTTTGTTTTATTTCCGTGACCCACTCGTTGGGTCACGGGTAACGGTAGCCTAATAGTTGGGCTCATAGATTGGACATTTCTTTTTATAGAAAATATATTCTCCTATAAATTTAGTTTTATTTCATATTTACTGATATTTACTGATATTTTTAACTACGAATATACTAACTTTCGATTCACTTTTTTCATTTAGATCATACATTATATTATTTTTTGTTTCAACTTGTTGTTATACGAAACTTAACAACGATATTAATGATGATTTGAGATGTAAAATGAAGTGAATTTATAAGATGTTTGTATTATAATCAGATCGAGATGGTACAAGAAGTCGGTTTTTTTGTGTACCGAGCGACCGCATTAAATGCAAAACGACTTTATAAAGGAGGTTATTCTGCAGGTGGGTCCACTGGTCATGAAAGAGGCACGTGTGACAGGCGGTTTGGGCGGTTGGACGCGTAGGTGCCCCATCATCAACTTCGACCTCGGTTTCGAGAATGGATCTCGGTATTTTCCGAAAGTCGTTCATCATGGCACCAAGTCGGTTCTCCATTCGGTCTCAGTCGAGTTCGTTTTATGGCAAGTTTAATCTGTGTTCAACTTGAGTTCGATGATTAATCTTCTACTTAGCAATATTGAATCTGGCTAATCAGGTCGGTTGTCAACAGAACTCTTTAGCTTGGTTGGACGTGGAGCCAGCCCCAACTACTAGCGTGGAGAGCTCGAGAGGAGATGATGAGCTAAGTTGGACCCTGAAAGCATGGATAGCTAGGGAGACATGGCGAGCTGCAACAGGCTTTGGCAACTAGTGCAAAAAAAGTTGGGGAAAATCAAAAGGATATGACAAATATATTCGAGATTCGATGAGTGGCTCAGATAGATTTTGAGGATATGATGGGCTGATTCAAGATTTGGTGACAAATACGTGTAGCTCATGTGGGTAAACTGAAATGTTTTGGGATTCCGTGATGTGGCAAATATCTCGGGTGGATACATCGAGTCGATGTGGGAATTGATGATCGGTGTGGATAGATCTTACTCGTTAGGATATGAAGAGAATATTAGGACCTCTTACAATGGATAGCTCGAAAGGATACGCCAGGCTGATTTGGGATTTGGTGACTAGTGCAAATAGCTCGGATGGGTACATCAATCTCATTGGGAACTCGCTGATTGATGTGGATAACTCGGGTGGATATGCTGAGCTGATTCCGAATTTAGTGGCTAATGTGAGTTTTGAAGAAGAGGACAATGTTCAGACCATAATATGAGGACCTAGTGAGATGATCTTAGCTCTAAAGACTCGCGTGGATATCTCGGACAACTCATGTACATGACAAAGAGATTTGGGCTTGGGCAACCTGGCAAACAGTGTGGCAGAACTTTGAAAACTGACATCTTGGGAGAAAATGTTGATTGGTGCAGACAGGCCGAAAAGATACGACGATTGATTTAAGCCCCGTGACATGCATAGATAGTTCAAGAGAATGTGGCGAAAGGACTCATTCCCCGATGAGTTTTTAAGAAGGTTATTCATGAGCAACATGAGTCTCTCAAGACGTGGCGATCAATCTAGTGGCCCATACATAGTTAGAAGGTCTTGATGGCCCTTCTAAAAGGAAAACACCATTCCCTTTTAGAGGTAGGATAACGAAGAGTGATATTCTTAACCACTAGGTATATAAGCTAATCCCTACTCTTGGTGGTGTGTTCAATTGATATGATTCATTGAGACGATGAGTCTCTTATCATTTCTTTTTGTGAACAAATATTTATTGCTTGTATATTCTGGGTAAAATATTATTGAAATTATGGTTTACATGAATATATTTAGATAGATTACTTGAGTTTATAACGAATTGCATATAATATGGTGTTACTTTATCTTTATCAACAAGAGAGTTGGAATTGTTGAAAATGTGGCATCATTAAAGCTTTCGAGTTGGCAAGTGGATTGGGAGTTAACTAGTTTTGAACATAAGAAATCTGGACTAATTTTCCTTGTTAATTGATCTCGTACAACACGAGTTGGGACAAACAAGTTGAGAGGATTAATTAATTAGTTAAAAAATGAAACACTGGCTAATTCTCGTTGATAATTGTTTGTACAACAATGAGTTGGTTCAAACGAGTAAAGTGGATTAACTAAATAGTTTGAAGAGTGGAACACTGCTAATTCTTGTTGATAATTGATCTTATACAGTGCGAGTTGGGTTGGCGAGCAGAGTGGATTAACCAATTAGTTCGAATAGTGAAAACTGACTAATTATCGTCGATAACTGATCTCATACAACACGAACAAGGTCAAACTAACGGAGTAGATTAGTTAATTAGTTCAAAGAGTTAAAAAATGGATAATCAATGTTGATTACTGACTTACTACATCAAGAGCTGGGTCAGGCAAGTGGATTGAGAGTACTTGATTAGCTTGGTACAAAATTAGTGTCGTTTTGCCTTCTCTAGCGGGTCGTCGGGCTCTCGACAGCGGCCACCCCAAGGCTGCACGACTCAACCCCTTTTGATGACGATGTCGGTCTTCTTGCGCCAGGTGGATTGGACGAATGGTCCTGTAAGGGTTTTGCCGCTCTTTCTAGTCGTCTTATAGGGCCAATGGTTGTCTATCTCCTAGGTGGAATGACAACGGTGAGCGACGGTGTTTCTGCGAGGTAGGGTTGTGGCTTTGACGACCTTGATGTGGTGGCTAGGTTGAGGAGAGTGGGCTCTCTCCCTTATTCCCTTTGCCCTTGGTGCATGGGCCGAGGGGACGACCGGCGTGACGGGCCCTGGCCCGTGGTGTGGGCTGGGCTCAGGCGGTGGTCGTGTGGTTGAGGGTTGTTTGGTTTTCTCCAACTAAGAGATGGGGCCGGTCTCATGGGCTCAAGGTCGAGCTGTGGGTGTTCGCTCCAGTTAGGCGAGTGTTGCAATGTCTGGATACAAGACTAAGGGCGAGATTCGGTCCATAGAGTTGGTCATCCTTAGGTGGCTTTGCCGTGGATTGCTTGGTGTGTTCTTTTAATGTGTGAAGGGTTTTAATCTATTGTATTTTGTTGTGTTTGTGTGTTGTAAGTGTTTTTTCTGTGTTGTTTGTGTTTTTGTGTTTTATTATCCTTTGGGATCTGTGTGCAGGCTCCATAAAAAATGTCTTCCTACTAGATTTGGCTGTAGGCCGAGTTTTAGGTATAATTATGCGTTCTATTCTTTTTTTATCAAAGTCTATCATTCCGACGAAAAAAAAAAAACATAACATGAAAATCAAACATTCATCATGTAAAATTTTGTAAATAAAAAATTGAGTAAGTTAATTAATTATTTTGTGTTAATACAAATCAAAATAAATAAATGAAAATATTATTTAAGTAAGTTAATAAATTATTTTATATGTTAATACAAATGAAAATAAATAAATGAAAAATATTATTTATATATCAAAGACACAAAAGAACAAGAAAATAAATGAACGTTACCTTCCCCTGAGCCTTTCAACTTTTCAAGTGTTGTTTGTATTCAGGGAGAGAGTTTGGGCCAATATCTCCAACACCAGCTGTGTGTGGTAACGATAAATCGAAACAATTTTAAGTGGCGAAGAAAAGAGGTGGGATTTTAACCTCAAGAACCCAATTTTTATGAACAGCGATCCATCTCCAAACCCCCCATGCAACCTGCAGCCTCCACGTGGCACCCGGCCAATCTTGATTGTGTGGTCTGTGGAGGTTCAAACCCCAATCCTTTCATCTCCCCCATTTGCGTTCACTCATCAAGTTTCCATTTTTATGCTATATAATAATACCCCCATTGATTTGCCTTCAAGCAGTTGCAGCTCCAAGCTCCTTCACTCACTGCAAATTGCTTTGAATCTCTCAGTTCAGTTTCTTCGGACATGGCCGGCGCCGTTTCAACCCTCGGAGCTGTCACTCGTGTGCCGGTAAGAACTCTGTTCTGTATGTGAAAGGGACAAATATAGTTCGTGCTTAGTTGATTTCTTTTACTGTGTAGTGTAGTAGTCTTGAATCTTGATGATGGGTCATGGATGGAGATGTTTGTCGTGTACGATGTTGAAAACTGAAAATTGTGATGAAGTTCCTGGATGATTATTTTGGACTTCTACTTTTGGACTGCTTGATATATTGTCGAAAACTCGAAATGATGTTGTTAATTGCTGGTGATTGATGCCTGTCCTTAGAGGGTGTGTGTGTGTGTGTGTGTGTGTGTGTTCTTGGTTAGATCAGATGTTTGTGTAGAAGGGTCTGTTTCAGTTTTTCCAGTAGCTAAGAGACCTGAAACAAAAGGAAAATATGACCGTAGCACATGTGTGAAGTCAATTAATTAGGAAAAAAAAAAAAAAAAGGGAATTGTAGTAGACACAGGGATTGAGTAGATGTTGGAGGTATTTTTGTGTATGATGTTTGGGATAAATTGTGTGGTCTGAATTAATCTCTAATGGGATATTTCGAGTTTCGACTACTCAAAATTCGACCTGTGTTGTGTTGGTATGAAATTCTTTCTACTCGGTTAACCGTTTTTCAATATGAAAACTAGAAGAACATGTAGAGGTAGGTGGATGGATTTCTTGACTGAATCATTTCTGTTTTCTGCTATGTCACCATACCAAATGAACTTCAAGAAATGTTCTTCTGCTAAGATATCTTCACCTATGAAGGCATTAATTAGTTAATTCATTCATGATTGTTTGTAGCAAATACAGAAAAAAAGTTATTACAAATTTTGGCATTATATTATTTGACGCAGCTGAACAGTGGAGTCTCCGTGGCCCCTCCCTCGTCCTTCTTTGGAAGCAGGCTGAAGCTGAATGCCTCGGGTTTCGCGCCCAAACTCACCTCCGGCAACTTCAGGGTTGCGGCCGAGATTGACGAGAAGAAGCAGACAGACGGCGACAGGTGGAAGGGTCTCGCGACTGACATATCAGACGACCAACAGGACATCACTCGTGGCAAGGGCATGACCGATACCCTCTTCCAAGCCCCCACCGGTTCCGACTTGGCCACTCATGATGCTATCCTCAGCTCCTACGAGTACCTCAGCCAGGGACTTCGCCAGTACGTAGTACAATCGATATGAACTATACAAATACAATATCGTCTCGTTTTTAGTATAAATTATAGTTCTTTTCCCCCGACTGTTTTGCAGATACAATTTCGACAACACGATGGGAGGATTCTATATTGCCCCAGCCTTCATGGACAAGCTCGTCGTCCACATTTCGAAGAACTTCATGACATTGCCAAACATCAAAATCCCGCTTATCTTAGGTATATGGGGAGGCAAAGGACAGGGCAAATCGTTCCAGTGTGAGCTCGTGTTCGCCAAGATGGGAATCAAGTGTGTCGTCAAACTTTTCTTTTTCTTTTTTCTTTTAATTATCTCTTTTGTTCGATATTAAGTTCAGTTTGTTTTACTTTTCCACAGTCCAATCATGATGAGCGCTGGAGAACTGGAGAGTGGGAATGCCGGTGAGCCTGCGAAGCTAATCAGGCAAAGGTACCGTGAGGCTGCTGACATCATCAAGAAGGGTAAAATGTGCTGTCTGTTTATCAACGATCTCGATGCTGGTGCGGGTCGGATGGGTGGGACCACGCAATACACGGTCAACAACCAGATGGTCAACGCTACTCTCATGAACATTGCCGATAACCCCACTAACGTTCAGCTCCCGGGCATGTACAACAAGCAGGAGAATCCGCGCGTGCCGATTATTGTCACGGGTAATGACTTCTCGACTCTGTATGCTCCGTTGATCCGTGACGGACGTATGGAGAAGTTCTATTGGGCCCCGACCCGTGATGATCGTGTTGGGGTTTGCAAAGGTATCTTTCGCACCGACAGTGTGCCCGAGGAGGCCGTTGTGAAGCTTGTCGACACCTTCCCCGGACAATCCATTGGTAACGAACTTGACACTTACATTTCCAACATATATAATTGAATTATACTCACTCACAATCAATATCGCTACTTGTTTCGAAAAACAAAGCAAAAATATGATAGATAGAGAGGGGGAAAGAGAGAGATTGACTAAAAATGTTACCAATTGATTAACTAGAAATTTTGATATTCCTTAATTCTTAATAGAAAACTAAACCAAAACTTTACAGTTTTGTCCAAACAGTATGGAGGATAGACCCTCCTAATGGTTATCTCAGGCTCAAAACTTTACTAAATTATTCATTAAGGGTAAAGTAGTATTTGTACCCCTTGGATGTAAACCATGTGGTACACCAAGGGGTACAAGTAGCATTATTCATACAAAAATACAGTCATTGATTTTTTTCCATTCTTAGCTATATATTATTGAATGATCTATTAATTAGTTTATACTTATTTGCAGATTTCTTTGGTGCTTTGAGAGCTAGAGTGTACGATGACGAGGTTAGGAAGTGGATCGGTGGAGTGGGAGTGGAGAAAATCGGCAGCAAGCTCGTGAACTCGAGGGAGGGCCCACCGACATTCGAGCAGCCGAAGATGACTCTTGAGAAACTACTCGAATATGGGTTTATGCTCGTCCAAGAGCAGGAGAACGTGAAGAGGGTCCAATTGGCCGACCAGTACTTGAAAGATGCTGCGCTTGGTGATGCTAACAAGGACTCCATCGAGAGAGGAACTTTCTACGGTTAGATTTCTTGCACCCTCATAGGAGGAGGTTTGCTCACTTTCTTTTTTACTTATCCAGTTTTATTTTTTTTTGTAAACCCCACATGAGAAATTATTGTGACTAACTTGATTTGCGAAAACCGTTCTTCCAAGTGCAGGTAAAGCAGCTCAGCAAGTGAATATTCCAGTGCCTGAAGGTTGCACTGACCCGAATGCGACTAATTTCGATCCTACTGCAAGAAGTGATGATGGAAGCTGCTCCTACAAAATTTAAGTTTTTTTTTTTTGATTCCTTTTTTCGCGCTCGTTTCTTTTGTTATTCGATCTGTTGAAGTCTTGGGTGTAAAATGAATTTTCCTACTGAAGCATGTGTCTAGATGAAGTGCCAATAACTATTGCAACTGTTGCTTGTATCCTGTAATTTGTGTTATATGATACATTTTGCAATTTGGATGGCCTCTTTTTTATTTGTGAGTTAAATAAGAAAAAAGAGGAAAAATGTTACGGTTCCGTTACGGAACCATTTTGTAGGGTTTGTAACTGTTAGATCATCATGTAACTGTTGAGGATAGTTGATCTAACGGTTGCAAACCTCGATGGAATGGTTCCGTTAGCATCTCCCAAAAAAGAGATTGGATAATTGGAGGTGAGCGCCATATTTGAATTGCAATGTTATGATGCTTTCCAAAGGTCATATAATAGTTATGTTCAAGTGTAGTATCAACCAGTAGTTTTGGCTTAAACAAGTTTCTAGTCCTACCAAATTGAATGAGCAAATATTCTGTAATGTTACATTTATGCAAAATGATAACAAAATTAATCTTTAAAGTTCATAAAATTGATAATTTAATTTTAAGAATATATAATTGAAATTATTATATTGATTGATATCTAGTATATAATAAAATTATATTTTTTTTTCAGCTGTTGGCTGCTGTAGTTTCAGCCGTTGGTTGTTGTGTATTCGCACTTTTGTGCCTTTTATTTTATAATATTTATATCGTTGGAAAAAAAAGTATATAATAAAGTTAGAAAATAGAGTATTTATAAAATTATTTTAGTTTTGTTTCTAAGCTTCACTATTTATCATTGGTATTTCATTTTATATGAGATTCATAGTTCAAAGCATCATCAATAGTCAAACTTAGAAAAAATTGAATAACTCTAAATAATTTATTTTCTAATTCTATTACATATTTTGATTATAAATAAAATAAGTTAAAATAATAGTTAGATATATTCAAAATAATATTATTATAAATAATAATTTTATTAATATATATTTTAAATAATATTTTTATGTACGAATAATATTTTCAATTATAGAATTAGAAAATAATAAATATAATTTTTTAAATATTTTATTTTCTAATTTTATTACATATTTATACTATCAATTAATATAATATTTAAATCACACATTCTTAAATTTAGTTTTCAATACTTTTTAATTTTAAAGTAAATTTCATTAAATTTATGTATAAGTGTTGCTCAAATGAATTAATTTTCTTATAAATTAACTTTACTAAAGATATTTATAACTTTAGAATAATAGTATTTTATTTTATGTAATTATGTAAGAACATAAAGTTGGTCTCTTGAATTTGAGAACTAAAATGTAAAAGTAAGTTTGAATAAATTAAAAATAAAAATATCAAATGAGAAAGTTAAAATTTCTAAGTCATATTGTTACACAACTAGTACGTACCCCGTGCAATGCACGGGACATAAATATTAAATGAATTATTTTCAGACGACTCTGTTCGTTTAAGTCTAAAAATCAATACAGTTATCATATATTTTTCACTTGTATATTAGGGCTATCTTGTAAAATATTATCTATACATATTTAATTCTTTTTTTATCGGTTATACATATTTATTTCTTAATTTGGAATAAAAAAAATTTTTGACCAGTGAGTATTAAATCAGCACTAATTAATTTATTAAGCAAGTAAAGACGCAAAGCAAGACAATTTAATTATCCAGCAATTTAGGGTAATATATAGTTATTTCCTTTATTAAACATGATTTTTTAAAAATAAAACAACATCAACCCCAAATAATAGGCAACATTCATGGTTTTGTTGAAAACCAAAATAACAAAATCCTTAATTAATGGGTAGCATTAATTACTGGTTTTTTTATTAAAAAAAAGTTACTAAGAATGGAATGTAATTAATGCAAAATGATTTTGACTAAAATTTGACCTGCTATTTTTGAAAAATGGTAAATCTTTTTATATATATAGATAACAAAAAGTCAAACTCTATAATAGAATTTTCTCCCATATAACAAGTATATTTTTTTTTATTTATTTTTTTGGTAAAAAAAATCGGAACTTTTTTTTTTACCATGAGAACTGGACCAGAAAATTAACAAAAATTTAGTCAATAATCGAACCGAACAGGGGTTTTATCGGTTCGATGCGATTCGATTCGATTTTTCGATTCCAATATCTCACCCCGAGTTGTCCGAAATTTAATAAAATATATTGAGAAAATGGTGTTTTGTACTATGAGAAGATGCTATAAGTACATATGTATTGTGTACATAACACTCACGTGGAGTGGGGTTCACTTGATTTTTTATTTTCCGTGAGTCCCGTAAGTGTTATGTACAACTCTACGTACTACGTGTGGTTATCTAGATTCGCCCGAGCGGGTAGACCCGCCTGGTTTTAACAAACTGGATTAAAGCAACCAAATTTGGTTGCCAATCTGCTCCATTCAACATTTCTCTGTTACAAACCACAAAAAGTGGGAGAGAGAAACCCTAGCGTCGCCATGGACAAGGAGAGCTCAAGCCGTAAACGAAGAGATTCCGACTCACATCGCGATAGAGACACGCCCAAAGACCACCACCACCACCGCTCTAAGCACGATGGTGACCGCCGCAGATCCGACGAACACCATCGCCGTCGCTCGGACTCTAGAACCGAGCGAGAGGGAAGCGAGGATCGAGAAATGCGCCGCGAGCGCGACAGATCCCGTTCAGTCGAGAGAAAAAAGAGGAAGGAGAGAGAGGGGAGTGAGGGGAGAAGCGATAAAAGAACTAAGGTTTATGATGACAATGATAGGGAGAAGCGTAGATTTGAAGATGATAAAAGGGGGAAAGGTAGTGAGAGTCCTGGATACGAGGGGAAGTATGTGAATAAAGATGTGAAGGGTGATTACGATGGGAGTGGAAAGCAAGGGGAGACTGGTTCTGTTGCCAATGTGAGTTCTCTGTGTTCCTTTCACTTCTTTTGGTTTGTTGCATAAGTTACTACATAAGTTAGATGCCATTACGGGCTAGATCTCTGATTGCTCTCTATTGTACAAATTCTGATTGCGGAGTGATCTTCTAGTTTTATTTGCTTGAATTGTTGTTTTAGCTGCAGCCCATGTAGGAATTCGTATATGGTTGGAAGAGAGGTGTTGAACTCATGTTAAATTAGCTAAGTATGTACCAGAAATGTTGACGGTACATGTGATATTGTCCAAGTTTTATCCCTTTTGCCTCCGAATAAGGCTCGCAATGCTAAACATGATAGGATCAGTTATCTTTTTCACCATTTCTTGGTAGTTAGATACTTTTCTTGTATACTACAGTTGATTGATATTTGATGTCTCTGGTTGTTCTTTGCTTTTAGTATTCAGTGTGTGTTTGTGTGTTCTTAAGGGAGCTGTCTCAAGAGTTGGTAGTTGTAAGTTAGGCTATTCTCTTATTTGTTTTATGTATCATTCCGAAATGATCATTCTTTAATCTTTCTCGATGTATTAGACAAATTTTTTCTGCTTATGGTGTAGGGAGATCTTATTGGATATGGAATAGCGAAAGGAAAGTAATTAGATAATATTTTGGTGCAGCAACTGTCACATGGTTAGATTGGTGTTGGTTGTTGGGGAAGTAGAAATGAACCACATGATTAGTTTTTTTTTTCCAAAATCTGTCACGTATATGTTCTGGATGTCTCTTATTTTCTGTGAAAGGTCAAGTAATTTTTATTTTACAGTGTAAAGATGTGGTGCAAGAGTGAGTTTTGTTTGCTTTATGGAGAAGCATGAAAAAAAGAAACGCAACATATAATTAGAAATTAATATGTTATCGTGAGATGTTAGAGTCAACATGAAATAGCAGTACCATGGCAGTCTCAGACTTTTGCATGCTGATGCATGAAGCGTAACACGAAGCGCATGCTCATTGGTTAATGTGTAGAATTCCTCCCCAAGCGATTGTACTTTGTTCTTTTTACACCGTAATCTGTTTGGCTAGTGTTATTTGACCTATGCATTAAGTATGGGTTGATATATTTGTTTCAACATATCCACTTTTTGGTATAAAGGCTTTGCATTTGGTGAGCGGTGTGCAAGATTTATCTTGTTCTTGCAGTTTGTAGGTTCCTTTACATGCTGTAAAAGCTACATTTTTTTGGCCTTTGACTTTGAAACAAAATCATGATAATATTTTGTAGTTGGACTATATTCTGACATATATGGATATACTCTGTTTGTGCCTTGCAGGGTGCTGCAACAGGGCCAATCACAACACTCTCTAGCACTTCATTTCAGACTTCTCCGGCTTGTAGCCTTTCTCCTACTACTAAGGTATCTTCAATTACCAAGACAAATGAAAATAAGGGAGTTAATATTAACAGATCTCATGAGGTTCCTGGGAAATCCAGTACAGATGGGACAGCTTCTGATGTTGGAAAGAGTCGAGGTTTGTCCCTTGATGCTTTAGCAAAAGCTAAGAGAGCCTTACAAATGCAGAAGGAGCTTGCACTAAGAATGAAGAAGATTCCTGCTGTAAGTGCTCTTTGTGTCTGTTTCATGTATACTTTAACAGCATTTAATATGTTATTTCCAGCATGTGCCGTTAGTTCTAAATCCCGAAGAAAGACGATAGGCATTGAGAGAAGACCTTATGCAAGTTTCGGTTTTATTTAATTGGCTTTGTTCCCTTAGGGCCTCCCCTTCCTGCTTTCTTTTGTAGTTAAACAGAGATTCAGCGTCAATCGGTGGTGGTAGTTCAGGAGTGGGTGAAAAGGAGGTTGCTAAATTTGCTTCATCCAGTAAAGGTATATTGCCCACGCCTGCTCCTCCAGTATCTTCCTCAGTGATTCCTTCTGGAGCAGCAGTAAGCGCTTCAACTTTACCAAGCCCGTCGACCACAGTCACTCCCCCACCAAGTGGCTTGCCTCATCTTCCTGGACTCACTCCGCAAAAATATGAAGCTGTAAAACGTGCACAGGAGCTAGCTGCCAAGATGGGATTCAGACAAGACCCAGAGTTTGCTCCGCTCATTAATATGTTTCCAGGTCAAATGCCCCCTGAGGTCACCATTCAACCAAAGCCTTCAAAAGCACCCGTGCTTCGTTTGGATGCATTGGGCAGGGAAGTGGATGAGCATGGCAATGTGGTGAATGTTCCAAAAGTAAACAGCTTGAGTACTCTCAAGGTATATCAGAACTACTGTAGAACTGTTAAATATAGTTTCATTTGTTTCATACGAGTTACCAATAGTGAAAAGAACTAAAATCTGTATGGAATTAATAAGGTTCATTGTCAATTTCCATGTATGATAGTTCACTTATTGACTTGAATGTCGCTTATCCTTTAGGTGAATATCAACAAGCAAAAGAAAGACGCCTTTCAAATTCTCAAGCCTGAACTTGATGTGGATCCTGATGAAAATCCTCATTTTGATGCAAGGATGGGAATTGATAAAAATAAACTGTTGAGGCCTAAGAAGATGACCTTCCAGTTTGTTGAGGAAGGCAAGTGGTCAAAAGAGGCAGAAGTTATTAAACTGAAGGTATTTCCTCCTGTATTTGTAGGTGACCTTTCTGCATACTTAATGGATCTTGCTCTAATGCTTTCAAACATTTGATTTGATAGTCTCAATTTGGGGAGGCAAAAGCAAAGGAGCTAAAGGCAAAGCAAGTGCAGTTGGCGAAGGCAAAGGCAGAACCTGATATAAACCCAAATTTGATTGAAGTAGGAGAGAGGGTGATTACCAAAGAAAAACAACAGGAACCAATTCCTGATGTGGAGTGGTGGTAAGCAAGCTTTCAATTTCAACTTGTTTTATTGATTGAATCTAAAGTTAGCATTTTCTTCAATTTCCAAAAATCTGGAGATTTTTCTTGCTTTAGCGTCATGTTGGTACTTTAGGTTGCCTCAAGAAGTTCAATTATCAGCTTAATTCAATACCATATTGTTATTTTGTATTTTGTTTTAACGCGTTTGTTTCTTAATATCTCTGGGCCATATGCTTATTAATGTAAGCGCATCTGTATTGTCTTGTATATGAGACAATATTTATGAGACATGTTTATATATAGATACACCATATGTGTGGTGCTTAATTTTATTAAAACCTATAAATACTCTTTTTTTGTTGGAAGAGTTGCCAATTGGGCTTTTTATCCAATACTGTGATGAAGGATAGGCCAGATAAGATACAGATACATTTGTTTCTCAAACTCATACTACTTAACCACTCTCTATAACTCGTGACCCCTAGGGATGTGCCTTTTCTACACTCTGGCACTTACGGCGACGTGGTCGACAGCGAGATGATCAAAGAAAACATCAAAATGGACAAGATCACGATTTACGTTGAGCACCCTCGGCCAATTGAGCCACCTGCTGAGGCAGCACCACCTCCACCACAACCCCTAAAGCTGACCAAAAAGGAGCAGAAGAAATTGCGCACGCAACGTCGGCTCGCCAGGGAGAAAGAACGTCAGGAGATGATCAGGCTGGGTGTGCTGGAGCCACCAAAGCCCAAAGTCAA